GAGGGACGGGGGCCGGCCGCCGCTGACGGGCACGCTGGAGCTGTTGATCTCGGTGCTGGACGCCAACGACAACGCGCCCCAGTTCAACCAGTCGGTGTATAAAGTGAAAGCCTTAGAGGGTTCAGAGCGCGGGACTCTGTTGATCAAGTTCAGTGCCACGGATTTGGACGAAGGGATCAATGGTGATGTTATGTATTTATTTAGTAGGCGTGTCGCTGCTCAAGTAAAAGAAATGTTCACTCTCGACGAAAACAAAGGAGAACTCAGACTTCAAGGCAATTTAGACTACGAAGACATGGACAGTTACGAGATTACAATAGAAGCGAGAGACAAAGGCACCCCTGCGTTAGCGGGTCACTGCAAGGTGGTGGTGGAGGTGCTGGACGTGAACGACAACGCGCCGGAGGTGTGGGTGACGTCGCTGTCGGTGCCGGTGCCGGAGGACGCGGCGGTGGGGACGGTGGTGGCGCTGCTGAGCGTGTCGGACCGGGACTCGGGGGCGAACGGGCGGGTGCGGTGCGCGGTGTGGCCGTCGTCGCCGTTCGGGCTGGTGGCGAGGTTCGCGGCACCCTTACCCAGAGCCACCGTGCCAGTAGGCGTGACACCATCTGGGGTAAAGCAGTGTAACTCTACTGACCTGCTCTTCTCTCTCTAGTCTTCCCTTTCTTCTGAGGGTTTCTGTCAGCAGGGTTTGCTCCTGAGTTCCTGCAGATGCAACCAGAAACCCTTCTGTTATGGCCTAGGAAATAACTCACCCAGGAGCTATTTTTCCAGCAGGGCTACGGTTACTTGTCTGACACCAGCAAGGTCCACACAGAGCTTCTGATGCACCTCCTGAGCACAGGGATGCAGACAAGGGGTTGCTAACACTTACAGTAACTCACATCATTTAAGAACACACAACAGGGACTTGAATGTGAAAATGAGCACAAAGAAAGGCATCTTCTCACAATCACTACCTCTTTCTTTTTCATGTCCATATTTTCCTCACCATGAGGAGGAAACACAGGCCCTGCAGGCCCTGCGGTCAAATACCGTTCTGGGGGACAGGCGAGAGAAGAAAGCAGAGAGACCTGAACAGGGAATTTTCAAATGGGTGATGAGTCAAGTAGAAGCAATGGCAAAGTGTAGCAGCAATTTACAGAAATTTAAACCCGATGGAACTGAGTAGTAGAAGTATTACAGAGAAGTAGAGGGCAGCACTGCAGTCAAAAGGGTAAGCAACGCAGACAGCTCTAACCGCAGTTTTTCACCTGGTTGCCTTAAACAAAACAGGCTTGAGATCCCGACTGCTCACTTCACCCTAGAACAGTCTCATTTCC